CCCCCCCTCGTTTCCTCGTTCTCTTGAGTGGCATTTTGTCAAAGAAAAAATGACGGGTTTTGTGGAATTTGATGAACGTTTTTGCAGGAAGGGAGAAAACAGGTTTCTGGTAATCGCAGACTCGGAGATCTTCTCGGTGCTTCTCATATCATTGAAAACATTGTCAACCCGAATAAGCTTTCAGAAGATATCGTCAGATGCATATGTTCTGTATACTATACGCTTTCCGGCTGCTCAAGAACAGATTCTGGTTTCTCATATTCTCCGCCTTCATCATTGTCTTCCTCCAGTGTATTTTCTTCCAAGGCTCCTTACGATAATAGCTTGAGTCTTCACTGCAACGAAGATAATATTCTGAACCAGCGTTTCGCGGACAATCAAGAAGCGGATTTTTCCTCGGCTATCGTAATAGAGACTTTGAAAATACACCCAGATGACGGTAGTTTCAATTACGCCGCCCTTATGCTGCAAAACTTCAGGTGTATATATATATACCAACCAATGTACATATATACACATCATCTTCATTGGTTGATCTTGTTATATTTGAAGTTCATAATAACTTTCTGGTGGAACAATCCTTACAGATCTTTAGTTCAGAATCTCGAGAAGGTCGACCCGAGTGGAATGAAGCGAGAAGAGAAGCTTGCGTTTTGGATAAACATACACAATGCACTAGTGATGCACGTAAGAAACTAAACGAAAATCGTATCCTTCTTTGCCATTGTGATTGGTTTTGACGCTTTTTTGAGCATAATATTCCCGGGTTTTTTTTCCTCGTGCAGGCTTACTTAGCCTACGGAATCCACAACCGTGCAAGAAACACCGTGATTTCAAAGGTTTGTACCGAAACCTTCTTACACAAAATCTTTACTTTGTGATATGTCTATGATGTTCTCTGAGCATTCCTCTTTAGGCAACATACGATGTTGGAGGCCAACGGGTAAACCCTTACATTATACAGAGCTCCATCTTAGGCATCCGACCCCATTACTCTGTACCCGTAAGCTAATCTTCTTCCATTTCACTTCACATCGTTTCAAGTTTCCGACGCGAAACCACCTTGGAGATAAACGTTATAAATTTCACATTTTCAGAAGCTGCAGACACTGTTCTCGCCATCAAGAAAGTCGAAAACTTGTAGTATCAGACACATATACGCCTTGGAGTATCCTGAACCTTTGGTCCATTTCACACTTTCTTCTGGTGCATCCATGGAGCCTCCGGTAAAAAAATCCCTAACTTTACAAACTCAAAACACATCTCGAATCTCGGGTTTGCGATGAAAGTATCGTTCATCGCCCGCTAATCTCCCCGACGTGCATTTCTCAGGTTCGGGTTTATACTGCAGACAGTATATTCAGGGATCTAAGACAAGCCAAAGGAGAGTTCATCAGAAACAACGTGAGAACCCACAAAGGGACAAAGATTTTATTGCCCAAGATCATCTGTTACTACATGAAAGACATGTCAATGGACATGTCTGGTTTCTTGGAAGCAACAACTGATTGTTTACCTGATGGAGCGAAGAGAATTGCCCAGAAATGTTTGAAGGACAAGAAGAACAAACACGTTGAATGGTTGCCGGAAAACTCAGATTTCCGGTATGTTATCGCCGGAGAATTGGCCAGAGGAAGAACCAAGAGATGATATAAATCTCATCTGTTTTCTTTTTTTTCCTTTTTGTGATTGGTGTAAAGTTTGTTGTTTACTTCTTGTAAACTCAGAGGTGTTTAGATTTTCTATAGGAGGGTGTGAGCGAAATTTGGTATTGGTAACTTGGTGATCAAGTTATTAGATAACCGGAAATTTGATTTCGGTTTGGTTTTTGTTGTATACATACATGTTTAAGTAAGTAGGTGATTTGCTTAATCAAGAGTTTCAATTACTGAATCATGCTAACAAATTGTGTGGGGGCTAAAATAGGGTCGAATTTTTTTGAAAGGAGAGATTTGAGTTCCGGTTCAATTTGATTCGAATTTTTAAAAATTATATTCATTTGATTATTATATTAGATTTCAGTCAAACTCGTATTTTATTAACAAAAGTATTCATTTTTCATATTTTTTCGATTATTTTATATTTGTCAGTTTTTAAAAATGATATCTATTTTTTTTAAAATTTGATTAGAAAACGATTATATATATTATATGAAAAGTTGAAAACCCTTCAGAACCTCTGAGAGGCCATTGACCATTGTATATTAAAACATCACGTAGTTAGTGTTTTTATCTCCCTGAGCAAGACTGCGTGCCGTTTTTAAACTCCGTACAAAAAAAAAGAAGATTGGTCCAGAGTTGAGCCATACAAAAATTACAAGGCCCATAAAAAAAACAAAATGCGTGGAGTAGAAAAAGGCCCTTTTGTGAGGAAACGGATTCAACGAGTGATTTTGGTGTCTGCCACTGCCATTGTTGCAGCTTCGATTGCGTTTATTGGGCTTCGAATCGATATGATGCAGAGCTCAGGCATCTTGTTGTCGGCGTCGTCCTCGAAAGCTTTCGCTGGTTCTGTTCTTCCTCTCCGTGTTAGCTCTGTCTTCACGCCTGCGAATCCCTCCACCGATCGTTCTTCCATGGCGGCTCCCTCCACCGGTCCCAAGTGGGCGCAGAAGACCATCACTCTCCCGCCGCATCGCCGTGGTTGCCATCTTATCACTCCTAAGGTCTTCTTCTTCTTCTTCTTCTTCTTCGTGCGGGTTTATCTGCTGCCTCGATTTCTTGCTTGATTCGTCCAATTTCAGTGTCGGATCTCCGTTTCGTTTTGTTTTGGTTGATTTCTACTCAAATTCGGAATGATGTTTTATAATGGGTTACGATCACCACGAATTAGGAAAACACTACTTGTTGTGGGTGTGATTTTGTGGATGATCGATTTCATTTGGGGGAGTTGATGTGTCTGAATTCTGTGTTTTGAAACACAGATTGTGAAAGAAATAGGGCAAGACTTGTCAGAGTTCAAGTGCGGCCTTGCTCATGTTTTCTGTGAGCTCCTCATCTCTCCTTTTCTTTTCTGGGGTTTCAGAATTCTCATGGCTTAGAGAATGCTTGTCATACAAAAATGGCTTCCTTTTTTTTGTTTGTAAAGTGCAACACACGAGTGCTTCTCTCACGATCAATGAGAACTACGACCCTGATGTTCAAGCAGATACTGAAACCTTCTTGAACAGGATTGTTCCAGAGGTATGCCTCTTCTCTTCCTGCTTCACCACTGTTTTGATATGGCTTCTCATTATCCTCGTGTTTTCTTAGATTGATTCTTCTGTATTTTTTTGGGTTTTCCCTCAAAATCTCAGGGGAATTCAGCACCTTGGAGGCATACAATGGAAGGCTAGTAACATATAACAATCTTGTTGTCTTGTCTCTATAATGTTTCTTTATATTGTCAGGATATCTCGTTGTTTCCTGGGGAAGAATGAATCTGACATTGATTTGGAGCCGTCAATTTCCAGCTCTTGTTATTAGAACCAGTCGCTAATGGAGCTGTTTTTCTTCGCGGAATGTAAGTTCAATGCATTCTTAAACTTGATTTTCTTTTTGTAACAATTGCAGGTCCAGATGACATGCCAGCCCATATAAAATCATCGATGTTTGGTTGCCAACTCACGTGAGTACATCTCTAGCCAATATTCTCAACCTATTTTTTGCATCCATGGATGGATACTCTGTGTTTTCGATTTCACTGACTAGTGTTCATCGTGTCTGCAGAGTCCCTATAACGAATGGGAAACTGAATATGGGGACTTGGCAGGTAATAAATTTCACATCCACTGATACCTTTCTTCGATTGAGTGTTTATGGTTTAGGCTGTGTAGCAAAAACATCATTCTCCATAAATTCGGATTCAAGTTATCACTCTTATGTAAGAAATGAGATGGACAAGTTGCTCTGTTTCAGCTGCTATTGCAAAACCTTAGGAATAAGAATATTACGCCCGGGATGTCAAGAAAGTTTGTTGAAATTCTTCGAATCTCGCTGTTAACTCAAAGTGATAGATTAGATCCTACTGGTCAGAGACAGATACTGATCCGAAACGGATCTTAGAAGAATTCTAGTCCATAAAAATCTATATTTTGGATATTTCGAGACGTATTCGGGTTCATCATGTGTAATAGTGGTATGTGGTTCAGGGGATATGGCTGTGCGAGCATCGCGATGCACCCACAGCCAGAAGGGTGGTGGTCACCCTCAATGGAATCTAACGGAAACAAAAAGTTTGCAGCTTTATGATTCTCTCATCATCTCTTGTCTTGGAATTGCGATCAGGTCGGTTTTGTAACGATTATCAATCAGTTTGTCATAATGAGACAATGCCCTTGTCCTCCTGAACACTCGTGGTGTATATTTCCTTTTTTTTTTTTTTTTTTTTTTTTTTTTTTGGTATCAAAAGCTGTATTTGCGCCGTAGGGCCGGGCGTCGCATCTGCGGGTATCTGAAATTCGAGAACCCGAGTCACGGCAAGCATTAAGTCGGGTTCCACGGGTTCAAGTTCAAGTTTTGTCGGTAGATTACCCGTCATCGTCTCAAACCGATACTTTGCCGATCATTGCATACGTCTTTCGGCTTTCTTCTCTATTTTTTAACCCCCGTCTCTTCGTCGGCCTGAGTACTCATCCTCATTGCATCCACAACACCCGAAATTCGGAGACCCAATCCCACGAGATCGCGGCTGGATAGTTCAGTCGAGAAATTTGATGAGGTGATACGGAGAGGGTTTGTCGAAAAATTCCGGTACCCGAAATATCCATCCCTAATTAATCAAACAGGAGCTAAAAGAAAAAAAAAGCATGGATCAACATTTGTCTTTGCCTTGTTGGAATTATATACAATTGTATGATTAGGGTTTTTAATATAGGTTTTAATTCACTGCAACTCTATTCTAATTATGTTATCACAAATAAAACTATACTAATTATGATATGGTTTTGTTGAATAATAAAGCTGTTCCAAACATAAAAGTCCTTGTATAAAATAATACCCAAGGATTTTTTGGGGTTCGTCCGAAGCCTGCGTTTTGTCATGTAGCGATTGTCGTTTTGGAACTTTGGACATCGAGTGCTACGGAACGTGGAAATAAGGCTGTCGCCTTTGGTTATTTAACTTATTATTTGAAAATCAAATAAATAAAACAAAACCCAAAAGCTCACCCGTGCAATTTGTTTAATTCGATTTTTGCGATATTTCTTTTTCTTATAAGGATCTCACCGTTTGTCTCTTCTTCCAAACACAAGATACCAACAAATCAAGACTGAATAACAGAAGACAAATAGTTGTCTAGATCATCCCCTCGGCTATTTTCTTTTACAAATTTATTAAAATTAATTATATAAAATATACGTAAAAATTTATTGGGGTTCGATTGTCTTTCTATCATCATAACAGGAATAAATTATAGATAAAAATTTGTTTCTATTCGAAATAAACTTAACCCTAATTCATATTCTTTCTGAATTTTTATTTCCCTTTTTAGTATTGACAGATTGAAATATTGGATTTATGTCGAATAATTATCATCAGTTCTAAAAATTCCAGAAATAAATTTTCTGAATAATTATATTTTTTATAATTACAAATTACCTATCAAAATACTTGAAGCAGAGTTTATTTTTGAATGTGAATGTTACTCTGCTTACCATCTAATATATATTTATTAGCCATAATAATTCCTATTTTGGTTTTAAATTATGTTGGAATTATTTCCATCTTACTTTAAAAATCTATGTAATGTTTGTTTGACGGTCCATTCATGAATGTTCTTATCATAAGATAAGATTATAATTTTCACAAAATAAGAGAAAGTATTTGGGATTTTAAAATTTTTTAGTTAAAGATATAAAAAGGAGAAGATAATATTAAAATAAAATTGCTTTTAAAAACAATATATATATATTAGAATCAAATGGGAAGTAGTAGGGAACAGGTAGACGATAATCAGAAGGCCAATGATTTAAGAATAATAATCTCCATCATTATCTCATGACATAAAATCTCCCTTTTTTGTTTTATAAAATATTTGGTTGTCACTTTTGTAAATAAAAAAAAAAACTTTCTACTTTTGCCAGCAGAGCATGCAAATTTTTACAGTGAGGAAAATGATAACACCTTTTTACTGTTTACTGCAATAATTCACAATCTGCTAAATTACCTGTACTCCAATCTTCTTTTTATCATCCTCCTATTCTTTTACCTAATAATAAATTATGAGCAATATTATGAAATAGACTTTAGTCGACTGAATCCAAATTTTGATATAATTTTTGTATGAAATAAGAAAATTATAGTTTTTATTTGGTATATCAAATTTGTGACATAATTTATTTTAGTTTAATGGCTTTTTATATATCATTAAATCTCTAAAAATGTGTCTTTAATCTCTAGAAACGCTTTGAGTCTTGGAAAAGTGGATGAATTGAAAAAATTGATAAAAATATATAATAAAAAAATCAGACTATCAAAATCAATAAAAAAAAAATTAAGAGCACGAACAAGTGGCTTTACAAATTCAAAAGTAAAGTCATAACGTTGATAAAATGCACGACCACCGAATTGGTAAAAGTCTTTTACACATGAACCAAAGTCACACTGTTTTGTTATGTCCTAAATTTACTAAAAATAATTCATGAATCATCCTTCAAGCTTCTCAATTTTCTCAATCTCTTCAACACACACACACACAATTAGCACACTTCTCTAAGAACCTCTCTCTCTCTCTCCTCTTCTTCCAAAGCTCCATAGCCACCAACCTCACTTTTGACCTACAGAGAGAGAGAGAGAGAGAGATTTGAAGATAAAAAGCGAAGACATGATTGAGGTTCTTTACCAGAATCTCAGAATCAAAGCTCCTTATTCAGCAAGTATGGTTTTGTCTGAGAAACGCTTCTACTTCTCCTCTCTGTCTCTCTTCTTCTTCTTCTTCGTTTTCTCTCTCTTCCCGGTGCCTTCTCTCTCCTCCACATTTATTGTCGACGGCGTCTCTGTCTGGAAAACCCCCGTTGTTCATGTTGGCGACTCCGTGGGTAAGGCCTTAATAAATGATGTCTGATCTGTCTCATTAGTTCCGTTATTCTCAGATTTTCTTGGGAAAGAATGTGGGTTTTTTAGGGTTGTGTTTATTGTTTCGTGTCTCTTAGTTTTCAGACACAAGTACGGAGGCGATCTCCACATCTTCAGGAACAAAGATGCATTCACTGTCTGCAATCTTACTCAAGCCACTGTTCTGACAAAACCCAACTCCACATCCTTCACGGTATACATCTCTTACTCCACACACACACACACATATTTTCATGTTATAAATTGATGAGAATTGTGAATTTCTTCATGAAAATTTACTCGTAGGACGAATTATTTCATCTGGGTCTTCTTCAAATTGCAGAAAGTTTTGATCTTTAAGACCACCCTTTTTCGTTTCAGTTCTCGAGATTCACAGAAAAAGTTAGGGTTTGCTCAAAGTCCAATGCTTTTCTTCCGAGGGAAAGAAAAGATGCAACCTTTGGTTTGCAAAAAAAAAAACTATTTACATGTCAGATTCCCATTTCTCATTTATGTTTTGATTTTCTTGGTTGCAAAAACAGTGGTACCCTTCGAGGCCTGGCTTCTTCTACTTCGCCTTCACCACCAACACCTCTCTCAAGTCATGCCAACTCAGCCAAAAGCTCGCCGTCCACGTCATCTCAGCCTCCGCCGCATCTCCGCCGGAGAGAGCCCCGGAGCCGGTATCCGGCGGAGTGGTCGCTTCTTCTCCGTCGTACCCGTGGCCGTTGGGTCCACGAGAGGGATCGGAGTACTCTCCGGGGCCGTCTCCGGCGGAAATCACGACGGTGATAGTGCCGGCGAAAGGAGGGATGCCTTTCATCAACAGTAACCCGGCGGTTCCTCTTCCCACCGGAGAAGTTGACTCCGCCTCTATCAACCCTTTGCCCACTTCGGCTAATAATGCACACCAGGTACTCAACCGTGTTCGGTTTGGTTAAACCGGAATTTGATTTAGACTTTAGATTTCTGTTAATCGGATCTTAACTAAATTGAGCCGAACCGATGATAAATGGGTAAATTTTTTGTTCTTTTTTTTTTCATTAATGTTGGATCATCAAGGGTAAAATTAATGAATGCACTCCAAAATTGAATGTGCAAACCTTTAGGAGTTAAACAACAGTTCCTCATATTATATACGTATGCTTCTATGTATGGACGTGCTTTGGTCCTAAATTCGTTTGTCATTATCTTATAAATTTGAGTTTTTCCGTACATTTTCATATGTATTAGTCGAATTATTGCATTAATATAAGTATTTTGCAGCTGCTAGTAGGGATGATGGGCGTAGTAACACTGCACCTGGGATTGGCCGTGGCACCGTCTCTTCTTCTGTAAAGGAGAAGAAGAGGAGAGTGATTAATTAGTAATTAGGGAACTTTAATGATGTTCTAGTCGATCTAATACCCTAATGTAACCATAATCATTCTCTCTTTCCTTTTCTTTTTTCTTTATTTTGTTGTTTTTCCCCTTGTTGTGGGGTTTCCTGTCTCTTTTAGAATATTAGGGGTTTCTTTTGAGTTTTTTTTTTTGTGTGCTGTACAACCAATTTGATTTTAGCTGTGTCGGGCTCCCATCTCTCTCCGGTTTGTGGTCTCCATCAAAATTGGGGTCCAAATGCAGACATCATAACCTCTGGGCACTTTGATCAAGTTGTACGAGAGAGAGAGAGGACCCTTTTGACGGTAATTACAGAAAAGAGAAACAAAAGGTAGCCGTTACTTCCCACCAAGGCAACGGCTAAAAGAAGCAGCCGACCGTTGACAGTTAAAAAAAGGCTTTTGAATTCCATGAAGAGGAAGTAACGAATATTTACTTGTGGTACTCTTCGAAAGAAGCTTATATAATATTGATCCAAATTGACCAACAGAAGAAGCAGGAAGAAACAAAAAAGAATGGAGCTCGAATTGGGACTAAAGATCACCAAAACAAGAGATGATGTCTCGTCTTAGCCTGATTTCCGCATTTTCAAGGACCCTTTTGGCCCTCTTTCGATATCTCGGAAAACCGAAAATGCCTTCATCCTCATCATTCATCTCAAAGGTCAATTTCTTTTAAGCTTTTCCATCTTCATTTTGTGCCGAAAGATTTTCATTTTCATGAGTAGTGAGTGTAAAGGCATTCATTTTAGCTGAATAAGGATTTGACGAATTGAGGGATCGAAATAATACAGGATTTAAGAAAGAGGGTATAGATATTGAGATAAACAAAGATGGAGATAGGATCAAGATAAGCGGTAGAAAACTCGTAGATGAGATGGTTTTAGTAAAGTGGGTGGCGTGGAAGAAGGAAATGGAAGTAAAAGTGTTCAAGAAAGTGTTTCGGATGTTGTGGATTTGGATAAGATCAAAGCGTGATTCAACGACGAAGACAGGACCTTAAAGATCAAACTGCCCAAAAAGGTAAAAGGAATCACCGGGCTTAAGATCGAAGAAGAATGTGAAGAAGAAATAGTAGAACCTAAAGAAGAGCAAAAGGAACCAGAAGAAGAGGATCCAAAAGCCGAAGAACAAGAACCAGAAGAAGAACGAGAGAGAGAGGTGGAAGAAGATAAGATCGAAGAACTCGTGGAAGAGGAGATGATTGAAGGGGAAGAAGCAGAGGAAGAGAAAGAGAAAGATGAAGTGAATGGTAAAGGGAAGAGGAGGAGGAGAAGGAAGAGATGTTGTTTTCCATTTCTTGCAGGATCATCTTTGCTAATGTCTATTGTTTTCTTCATTATCCATTTAATTGAGTCCAAATCCAAAGAAAAAAATGTTGTTGTTTTAGGTTTTTTTTTGGGTGAATAGTTTTAGGATATGATGTTTTTTTTTTCCATCTCCTTGTTTTACAGAATATTCTTTTGTGTATTTATTATTTGGTGTGTTATGATATGTAATTTTTGAGATGAAATTATGAAGTTTTGATTTTTTTTCCTGTTTGGAAAAGCACACTAGGGAGGGCCCGTCAACGTTTAAAAAAAAAAGCACCTTTGTTATTTTATATCTATATATTAGAATGGATACACACGTATAAATATATTATGATTCTGATGAGGATAAGTATTATTTACACGTGTGTGTTTGCGCGTGCGTATTGTATTACACCATAATATAAAAAATATGATGATAAACATTGTGGACATTTCAATAAAGTAGGGAAAAAAAACAAACAGTTACTTCCTACGCAAGAAAGCTTTGCAGAAGGGAAAGAAGGTAAAGAAGCCCTAATGTTTGACCATAGTCAAAGTGGAGAACAAGAAGCAACGAACATATACTTTGGGACTCTTCCGAGAGGGCAACAAGCAACAAGCAACAAACAGAAAAACAACTATTCTGCGTCCCATTCAAAGATCAAAACCAAGAAGAAGAAACAAAAACAAAAACAAAAACAGGAGGAGAAGAACAGAAAATGGAGGTAGAATTGGGACTGAAGATCACAAGAACAAGAGACGATGTCTCGTCCTCTGTGGATTTTCACTTCTCCAAAGACCCCTTTGGTCCCCTCTGGCTTACCCGAGAAACCGATTCAATGTTTGTCCTCATCATTCATCTCCGAGGTAATCACTTCGATATCTCTCTGTTTCTTTTCATTTTCTTGCCGAAAGATCTGTTTTTTTTTCCTGAGGAGTTGAGAGGGGTTTAAAAAAGCAAAGAGATTTAGTATGTTTTATAAGGGTTTCTCAGCTAAACAGGAAGCTGACTAGAAAACACGAGAATTGAGGGTCGAAAACTGATGCAGGGTTTAAGAAGGAAGGTATTGGAATCGATATAAATAAAGAAGGAAACCGAATTACGATTAATGGAAGAAAACCAGTACAAGAGATGGTTTTGATTAGGTGGATGGCTTGGAAGAAGGAGGTGGAATTAAGGGCATTCAGGAAAGTTTTCCGGATTCCAAATATCGTCGATTTAGATAAGATTAAAGCGAGATTCAACGAGGAAGATGGGGTTCTAACGATTAAAATGCCCAAAAACGTTAAGGGAACCTCGAGGTTTAAGATCGAAGAGGAAGAAGCAGAAGAAAGAGTAGACTTAGAAGGTCCAAGCGAGATTGAGAGGAAAGCAGAAGCAGATGAACAAAATAAAGAGGTTGAAGAGAAAGAAGAAGTAGAAGAGGAGAAGACAGAGAGAAAAGAACCTGAACAACACCAGGAGAAGTCAGAGGAGAAGATTGAAGAAATTACGTCATGGAAAGAAAGAGAAATTCAAGTGTTGGGGGATTACAAAGAGAGTTTAGAGAAAGACGTCAAAAAAAAGGATAAGATTGGTGAGGCAATAGGTGAAAGATTGGTAAAACAAGAAGAGATAACGAACGAAGAAGACGAAGAAGAAGAAAGGAAAGGAGGAGAAACTGTAGAAATTGAAGTAAATATCGAAGAACAAGAATTAGGTGAACCGGAGAGGCATAAAGAAGAAGGTGAGATTCGAGAATTCTCAGAAAAGCGAACTCGAAGAGAAGAGAATGAGGAGGAAAAACAAGAACCCGATAAACATAAGAGATATAAAGAGCGAGAAAAAATCCTTTCAGAGATGGAGGGAAAACCTGAGGAAGATAACTATCAAAGAAGACAAAAGATTGAAGCTCAAGAACTGGATGAATCAGAGAGATATGGAGCACAAGAAAAGATTCGAGAGCTTATTAAAGAAGAAGAAGAAGAAGAAGAAGTTGTAGGAGTGGAGATAAAGTCTAAAGATGATATCATTAAACAGATGCAAGAGTTGGAAGAACAAGAATCAGATGAATCATCAAAAACATCGGCAGAAGAAGAAAGCAACATCCAGGAACGGATGGAAAGGAAAACGTATCATACCAAAGAAGAAACAAAAGAAGAGGATAAAATAGAAAAAACAATTATTACAACTGAGGATGATAGCACAGAAGAGTTTATAGAGACTAAAACACAAGAGCAGTGTCAACCAAAGAGACACGGAGAACAAGACAAGATACAAGAACTGGTGGAAGCAAAGGCAAGTGATCACAAAGACAAACCAGAAATCATTGAAATGGAGGAAAGAAATGGAGAAGATACCACAACAAAGACATCTATGATTGAAGGGCAAGAACCCGATGAACCAGAAAGGCATAAGAAACAAGAAGATATTCAAGAATTATTTGAAAAGCAAACACCTCGAAAAGAAGAAAAGGCAGAGGAAATTGATACAACGGTGACAAGTAAAGATATTGGCATAAGAAAGATTCAAGAGACTGAAAAACAAGAGCCAGATGAACATAAGAAATGTAAAGAACGAGAAACGACCCTTTTAGAAACGGAGGCAAAAGCCACGGACGATAGTTCCCAAAAAGTTCAAAAGATTGAAGCTCAAGAACTGGACGAATCAAAGAGGCATGAGGTACAAGAAAAGATTCATGAACTTGTTAAAGAAGTGAGTGATCGCAAAGACGATAAAGAAGAGGCAGTTGTAGGAATGGAGAAAAAGACTAAAGATGATATCCTCACAAATATGCAAGAGTTTGAAAAACAAGACTCAGATGAATCACCAAAACCATCCAAAGAAGAAAGCAACATCCAAGAACCAATAGAAGGGAAAACATATCACCACAAAGAAGAAACAGAAGAAGAGAATAAAATAGCAAAAACTATGACTACAACTGTGGATGATAGTTCAGAAACGTTTCAACCAAAGAAACCCAGAGAACAAGACAAGATACAAAAATTGGCTAAAGCAAAGACAAGTGATAAAAAAGAAGAACAAGAAATCATCAAAATTGAGGAAAATATTGGCGATGATAGCACAAAAAAGACACATATGATTGAAGGACAAGGACTAGGTGAATCAGAAAGGCATGAGAAACAAGAAGCGATTCAAGAACTACTACAAAAGCAAACAGAGGAAGAAAGGGAAGAGAAAATTACTACAATGGAGACAAAAAATAAGGATATTAACTTAACAAAGATACAAGATGCTGAACAGCTAGAACCAGATGAACATAAGAGATACAAAGAACGGGAGAAGATCCTTTCGAAGACGGAGGCACAAGACGAAAATGATAGCTCTCAAAGAAGTCAAAAGATTGAATCACGAGAGCTGGATGAATCAGAGAGACATGGGATACAAGAAAAGATTCACGAACTTGCTAAACAAGAAGTGAGGGATTACGAAGAAGAAAAAGAAGAGGCAGTCATAAGCCACATCCAAGAACCAATAAAAAGGAAAACAGATCATCGCACAGAAGAAACAAAAGAAGGGGATAAAATTGAAAAAACAATGATTACAACTCAGGATGATAGTTCAAATGAGTTTCAAGAGTCCAAAAAACAAGAGCTATATCAACCAAAGAGACCCAGAGAACAAGACAAGATACAAGAACTGGTTGAAGCAAAGACAATTGACCACAAAGGAAAACGAGAAATCGTTGAAACTGAGGAAAAAATTGGAGATGATAGTACAAAAAAGATACCTAGGATTGAAGGGCAAGAAGTAGATGAATCAGGAAGGCATAAAAAACAAGACACGATTGAAGGATTATTAGAAAAGCAAACACCTCGAAAAGAAGAAAAGGAAGAGGAAATTGCTACAAGGGAGACAAAAAGTAAGGGTATTAGCCTAAGAACGATTGAAGAGACTGAAAAACAAGAACAAGATGAACATAAGAGATATAAAGAACAAGAAAAGATCCTTCCAGAGATGGAGACAGGAGCCAAGGATGATGGCTCAAGAAGTGAAAAGATTGAAGCACGAAAAGTGGAAAAACCCGAACAACAAGGGGTACAAGACAAGATTCATGAACTTGTTAAAGAAGAAGCGAGGGGTCAAGAAGAAGAAGAAGAGGCAGTTGTAGGATTGGAAATAAAGACTAAAGATGATATCCTTAAAAAGAAGCAGGAGATTGAAGAACAAGAATCAGATGAATCATCAAAAATATCAGAAGAAGAAGAAAGCAACATTCAAGAACCAATGGTAAGGAAAACATATCATCAAGAAGAAGAAACAAAAGGGAATGATAAAATTGCAAAAACAATTACTACAGTTGAGGATAATATCTCAAAACAGTTTCAAGAGACTACAAAACAAGAGCTGTATCAGCCAAAAAAACCGAGAGAACAAGACAAGACACAAGAACTGGTTAAAGCAAAGACAAGTGACCATGACGAGGAAAGAGAAATCGTTGAAATTAAGGAAAAAATTGGAGAAGATACGACAAAAAAGATATCTACGATTGACGGACAAGAGCTAGATGAATCAGAAAGGCATAAGAAACAAGACCCGATGCAAGAACTATTGGAAAATCAAACAACTCGAAGAGAAGAAAAGGAAGCGGAAATTGTTAAGGCCGTGACTAAAAGTAAAGATATTAGCCTAAGAAAGGTTCAAGAGACTGAACAACAAGAACCAGATGAAGATAAAGAACGAGAAAAGATCCTTTCAAAGATGGAGACAAAAGTCGAGGATGATAGCCTTCAAAGAAGTCAAAAGGTTGAGGCACGAGAACAAGATGAATCACATAGACATAGGGTAGAAGAACCGATTCATGAACAAGAATCAGATGAATCATCAAAAACATCCAAAGAAGAAAGCAACATCCAAGAATCAATGGAAAGGAAAACATATCATCACAAAGAAGAAACAAAAAAAGAAACACATATGATTGAAGGACAAGAACTAAGTGAATCTGGAAGGCATAAGAAACAAGAAGAGATTCAAGAATTATTAGAAAAGCAAACAACTAAAAAAGAAGAAAAAGAAGAGGGAATTACCAGGACTGAGACAAAAAGTACGGATGTTAACTCAAGAAAGATTCAAGATGTTGAACAACAAGAACCATATGAACAAAAGAGATATAAAGAACGAGAAAAAGTCCTTTCAGAGATGAAGATGGAGACAAAAGTCGAGGATGATAGCTCTCAAAGAAAACAAAAGATTGAACAACGAGAACTGGATGAATCAAAGAGACAAGGGGCACAAGAAAAGATTTGTGAACTTGCTAAAAAAGAAGTGAGGGATCGTGAAGAAGACAAAGAAGAGGCAGTTGTAGGGTTGGAAATAAAGACTAAAGATGATACCCTTGAAAAGACGCAAGAGATTGAAGAACACGAATCAGGTGAAATGATGAGATCTAAAGAAGAAAGCAACATCCAAGACCCCATGGAAAGAAAAACACATTATCACAAAGAAGAAACAAAAGAAGAGGATAAAATGGCGCAAACTATGATTGCAACGGAGGATGATAGTTCAAAAAAGTTTCAAGAGCAGTATCGACCAAAGAGACTCAAGGAACAAGACAAGAAATGGGAATTGGTTAAAGCAAAAGCAAGTGATCACAAAGAAGAACGAGAAATAGTCGAAATTGAGGAAAAAATTGAAGATGATAGCACACAAAAGACGCCTCAGATTGAAGGACAAGACCAAGACAAATCAGAAAGGCACACGAGAATAGACAAGATTCAAGAACTATTGGAAAAACAAGCACCACGAAAAGAAGAAGAAGAGGAGGAAATTTCATCAATGGAGAAAAAAAGTCAGGATATGCACCAAAGAAAGGTTCAAGAGACTGGAAAGCAAGAACTAGATGACCACAAGATATATAAAGAACAAGAAAAGATCTTTCCAGAGATGGAGACAAAAGTCGAGGATGATAGCCCTCAAAGAAGTCAAAAGATTGAAGCACGAGAAGTGCAAGAATCAGAAAGATATGTGGTCCAAGACAAGATTCAAGATTTTGTTAAAGTGGCGAATGATCGAAAAGAAGAAAAGGAAGAGGCAGTCGTAGGAATGGAGATTAAGACTCAAGATGATATCCTGGAAAAGATGCAAGAGTTCGAGGTACAAGAATCAGACGAATCATCAAAAACATCCAAAGAAGAAAACACCCAAGAACCAATGAAAAGGAAAACATATCACCAAGAAGAAGAAAGAAAAGAGGATGATAAAATGGAGAAAACAACGATTACAACAGAGGATGATAGCTCAAAAGAGATTCAAAAGCCTAAAAAACAAGAGTTGTATCAACCAAAAAGAGCCAGAGAACAAGATAAGATACAAAAATTGGCTGAAGCAAAGACAAGTGACCATAAAGAAGAACGAGAAAGCATTGAAATTGAGGAAACAATTGGAGATGATAGCACAAAAAAGATACCTAAGATTGAAGGACAAGAACTAGATGAATCAGAGAGGCACAAGAAACAAGACGATATTCAAGAATTATTCAAAAAGCAAACAACTCGAAAAGAAGAAGAGATAGAAGAAATTGCAACAACAAAGACAAAACATAGAGATATTAGCCTACGAAAGGTTCAAGAGACGGAACAACAAGAAGCAGATGGGCATATGACACATAAAAAACGAGAAAATATCGTTTCACTGATGGAGACAAAAGCCAAGGATGACAGCCCTCAAAGAAGACGAAAGATTGAAGCACTAGAACTGGATGAATCAGAGAGACATGGGACAAAATACAAGATTCATGAACTTATTAAAGAAGAAGTGAGGGAACGCGAAGAAGGAAAAGAAGGAGCAAATGCAGGAATGGAGATAAAGACAAAAGATGGTATCCTTGCAGAGATGCAAGAATTCGAAGAACAAGAATCAAATGAATCATCCAAAAGAACCAAAGAAGAATGTGAGATCCAAAAGCCAATAGAAAGGAAAACATATCACCAAAAAGAAGAAACAAAAGATGATGGTAAAATTCCGAAAACAATGATTACAATAGAGGATGATAGTTCAAAAGAGTTTCAAGAGCCTAAAAGACAAGAGCCAAACCAAGCAAAAAGGGGCGGAGAACAAGACAAGATACAAGAATTGGTTGAAGCAAAGACAAGTGATCATAAAAAAGAACAAGAAATCAATGAAATTGAGGAAACATTTGGAGATGATGGCACAAAAAAGATACCTAAGATTGAAGGACAAGAACTAGATGAATCAGAGAGGCACAAGAAAGAAGATGAGATTCAAGAATTATTCAAAAAGCAAAGGACTCAAAAAGAAGAAAAAGATGTGGAATTTACGACAAAGACAAAACATAAGGATATTAGCCTAAGAAAGGTTCAAGAAATTGAACAAAAAGAACCAGATGAACATAAGATATATGAAGAACGAGAAAAGATCCTCTCCGAGGCGGAGACAAAAGTCGAGCTTGATAGCTCTCAACCACAACAGAAGATTGAAGCAAGAGAACTGGATGAAACAGATAGACATGGGGTACAAGACAAGATTCATGAACTTGTTAAAGAAGAAGCGAGAGATCAGGAAGAAGAAAAAGAAGAGGCAGATGCAGGAACGGAGATAAAGACTACACATACTATCCTAAAAAAGATGCAAGAGTTCGAAGAACAAGAATCAGATGAATCATCAAAAACATCCAAAGAAGAAAGCAACATCGAAGAACCAATGGAAAAGAAAACATGTTATCAAGAAGAAGAAACAAAAGAGGATGAAAAAATCGCAAAAACAATGATCATAACCGAGAAAGATAGCTCAAATCAGTTTCAAGAGTTGTATCAACCAAAAAGATCCCGAGTACAAGACAAGATACAAGAATTGGTTGAAGTAAAGACAAGTGAACAAAAAGAACAACGTGAAATCGTTGAAATTGTGGAAAAAATTGGAGATGTTATAACAAAAAAAATACCTATGATTGAAGGGCAAGAACAAGACGAATCAGAAAGGCTGAAGAAACAAGACAAGATTCAAGAATTATTAGAAAAGCAAACAGCTCGAAAAGAAGAAAAGGAAGAGGAAATAGTTGCAACGAAGAGAAAAATTAAGGATACTAGCCTAAGAAAGGTTCAAGAGAAAGAACAACAAGAACCATATGAATATAACATATATAAAGAACGAGAAAAGACCCTTTCAAAGAAGGAGACAACAGTCGAGTATGATGTCACGCAAAGAAGACAAAAGATTGAACCACGAGAACTAGATGAAACTGAGAGACATGGGGCAAAAGACATGTTTCATGAACTTGTTAAAGAAGAAAGGTGGGATCACAAAGAAGATAAAGAAGAGGCCATTGCAGGAATGGAGATAAAGAGTAAAGATGATATCCTTCAAAAGATGCAAGAGTTAGAAGAACGACAAACAAATGAATCATCAAAAACATCCAAAGAAGAAAGCAACATCGAAGAATCAATGGAAAGGAAAACATATCATCAAGAAGATGAAACAAAAGAAGATGATCAAATTGCAAAAACAATTATTACAACTGAGGATGATAGCTCAAAACAGGTTCAACAGCCTGATAAACAAGAGCAGTATCAACCAAAAAGATCAAGAGAACAAGACAAAATAAAAGAATTTGTTGAAGGAAAGACAAGTGATCATAAAGAAGGATGCGAATTTGTCAAAGTTGAGGAAAAACAAGGAATCGATACTACAAAAAAGGTTCAAATGAGTCAACGACAAGAATTAGATGTATCGGAGAGGCAAAAGAAACAAGACAAGATTCAAGAACAAGTGGGAAAACAAGCTCAAGAAGGACAAGAGGAAGAAGAATCTGCAAAGGTCAAAATTAAAATTGGGGATGTTAGCATTAGAAAGATTAAAGAGAATAGAGAACAAGAACTGGAAGTTGTACAAAAGAGCCATGGAGAAGAAGAAAATATCCAAGCATCGGCTGAAATGAATATCTCAGAGGTGGAGCCAAAAGATGACTATGATACAAGAAAGGTTCAACAAATCAAGAATATAGAGGGAAAATTTGACTATGATAGAATAAAACATATCCATGATAATGAAGAACAAGAAACAGATGGGCCGTCAAGGCATAACAAACAAGACAATATTCAGAAACTGCTGGAAAAACAAACAACTCCAGAACGACAAGATGAAAAGGAAATTACGATGGTGGAAGACAAAAATAGGGATATTAGCTTGAGAAAACTTCAAGAAGTTAAAAAGCAAAAACCGAAAGATGAACAAAGGAGTCACGTGGAAGAAGAAAATTTTTATAAATTGGAAGAAGATAAAATATCAGAGGCAGAGGCAAACATTGTTGATGGTAGTTGGGGAAAAGTACAAAGAACTGAAGATCAAGAATTGGGTCAACTAGAGAGGCCTGGAGTACAAGATACCATGCATGGACTTATCGAAGAGGAAGTGAGTGATCGAGAAGAAGAAAAGGACGATACAAATGAAATAAAGAAAAAAGCTAAATATCATATCCTAGAAGAGATACAAGAGCTCGAGGAGAAACATCTAGATCAACCAATGGGATTTAAGGAAGAAAGCAAAACACAAGATTTGATTTTAGGGAAAACATATGATCAAGAACAAGAAGAAAAAGGAAAGGATAAAACTGCAAAAACTATGACGACAACCGGGGGTGATAGTTCAAGAAAGGTTCAAGGTATTAAAAAACAAGAGTCATACAGTCCAAAAAAGACCAAAGGACAAGACAAGATAGAGGAGTCGGGAAAATCAAATGATAATAAAGAAGAAGTAGAAGGAGGAAAAATTGTTGAAACAAATGCAAAAATTGAGGATGATAGCACAAAGAATATTCATGAGATTGAAGAACAAGAACGAGATAAACCAAATAAGCAATGGAGACAAGAAAAGATTCAAGAGGTGAAGGAAAAGAAAACAAGTCAAGAGAAGCATAAGGAAAAGGAAATTGTGAAGGTTGAAACAAAAAGTGAGGATATTAGCTTAAGAAAGCTTCGAGAGATTTATGAACAAAAATCAAAGGATGGTGAAAAGAGGCATGAGGAACATAAAAATATTCAAGAATCCTTGAAAGAGGAAACCCCAGTCGCAGAGACAAAAACTGAGGATGAAAAACAAGAATTGCATAAACCAGAGAGGCATGGGAAAGAAGACAAGATGCATGAACGTGTTGAAGATGAAGCAAGTGATCATGAGAAAGAAAAGGAATCAAAAATTGCAGAAGATATCTTACGAATTATACAAGATAATGAAAAACGAAAACCAAATGAGCCAGAAATAGACAAGGAGGAAAGCAAAATCCAAGAGTCTACGGAAAGAACAACTCATGGTCAAGAAAAAGGAAAACAAGAGGCGAAATTTGGAGAAATAAAGAAAAAATCTTTGGATGCTGGTCTGAATATAAGTGAAGAGATAGTAAAGGTTAGTACGGAAATGAGAGAAGCAATGAAACAACGAGAAGAGAAGCCACAAGAGAAAGGAACAACAAGAAAAGAAGAGGAAATTACAAAAGATGACAATTCAGGAAAGATTCAAGACACTGAAGCACAAAACTTAAATCAATTAGACAGACAAGAGACGAAACGAGATAATGTTGAAAACCCGAAGGGAGATGTAATAATCGATGGAGAAGATCACAAGGAAAAAGAATATACAGAAGTGGTAACAGAAGATGAGGATGAAACGTCAAGAAAAGTTGAGAAGTTTGAAGAACGCAAAAAACAAGAAATCATTCGACAACTAATAGAAGAGGAAATAAGTGATCGTGGCAAAAAAGATATGGATGATAATGGGCGAATTGCAGAGACTGGAGAACATGACTTATATGAACAGGTATTGATTGAAAAGGAAATGAAAAAAACCAAGGGAGAGGGAGAGGGAGAAGAGGAAGAAGACAACAAGATTGTAGAGACAACCACAGAAGTTGAGGATCATATTTTGAAAAAGATTGCAGCGAATGATGATGATGAACTAGATGAAAAAGAAAGACGCGTACAAGAAGCCACCATTATGCAAAGACCTGCAGAAAACATAGTAAGTGGCCATAAAGAGAAAATAGAAGAAAAAGAACAAGTTGTGGAGACAGAAACACAAACTGGGGACCATAAGTTAGAAGAGATTCAAAAGATTACAGAACAAGAATTTAATGATTCAGAGAAGCACAAGAAACAAAAAAGTATCCTAAAAGTTAAGGAAGAAGAAATAAAGGATATGATAAATGAAAAGGGGCAGGAAATTGAAGAAGTACAGGCCAGAATTCGAGGCGATGGACCAAGAAAAGTTCAAAAGATTGTTGAAGAAGAAGAAGAAGATGATGATGATCAATCAGAAAAAAGTAAGGAACAAAACAAAACCCAAGAACTAGTAGAAGAGAAAATGAGTAACCAAGAAGAAGAAGAAGAAGACAAGATGGAGAATATCACAGAGATGGAAACCAAAGCTGATAACAGTAGCAAAAGAGTTCAAATGATCGAAACACAAGAATCTAATGAACCAGAACAATCAAAGGAACAAAATCTGATTTGCAAACTGGTGGAAGCAGAAAAAAGTGACAATGAAGGAAAAGGAATTCAAGAAACAAATACAAAAATTGAGAATCACATATCAAGAGAAGTTCATGGCACTGGAGAACAAGAAATAAGCGAACCAGAAAAGGTCAAAACATTGGTGGAAGAAAAAGCTAGTGAACACAAAGAAGAAGATCAATGCAAAACAAAGTACGAGGATGATAGCTTGCCAAAAATTCAAGACACAAACAAACGAGAATCCATGGGGCCGAAGAGTCACATGCAATGTGACAAAATTCAAGAATTAGTGGGCAAGGACAAAAAAGAAGAAGAAAAAGAACAACAACAACAACCAGAAGAAGAAGAAGAAGAAGAAGAAGAAGAGTTAGAAGTAGAATTTGAAGAAGAAGAAGAAGAGGAGGAGTTAAAAGTAGAATTTGAAGAAGAAGAAGAAGAGTGGGACGCTGAAGTAATACAAGAGAGTGACTTGGGTAAAATTAGGAGGAGGATCAAAGTGGGTTTTGGATTAGCTGCAGGATCAACAATGTTTGTGTCACTTATTGTTATTGTTATTCGAATCATTCGGTCTAAGAGAAAAAAGAAGTCGTTCATGCTCTAACCAATGCAACATGCCATCTCTTTTTCTAACGTTTTAAGTCCAACATATAAAAAAATATAAAAGCGGCAACAAGACAACATCTATCAACATTTGAATATATAGTTGAAATCGGTCAAAATCTGAAAGAATAATCAGTGATGTCAAATGGGCAGGTTGGAACCAACCCAACCCAACCCTTTTATCGGGCAGCCAATCAACCACAATACCAATTTTCTAAGCCAGACTTTGGATCATAATCATCATGTACTTAGGCAGATACTGAAGATTAAGAGACCTCAGTTTCGAACTACGGTTAGAAACTACTACAGATTAACATGGCTGTGTATCTACACGCCAATACACAAACTTATACACATGCAACAAGAAGGGCACAAGAAAATTCAGCTCAACATGTGAGAAAGAAAACTACAGAAAACCCAGTTATAATTCAAACCAAATCGGTAATCCTTCCCCCCCCCCC